ATTACAATGTGTTCTATGATTAATCATGTTGGTTCACTAGTGCTGTGAAATAGTTAAAATATTTAATAATCATTGATTTTTAAGTTATCAAGGAGGTATTCATAACTTGATTCTGACAACAAAATACAGTGTATTAAGAACTTTAATTAATATGATTGTGTCTGTATGAAATGCAAGCAGATGCTAGTGTTTGTTGAAAACAGAATTATTCCTGCCAACAGTTGAAACATAACTGGTGCATGATCCTTCTCAACTATTTCTCATATCTTACTAATTCAAAGGCAGCCAAAGTTTTGAACTGAATTCCAAAGCCTCAGTAGTTGTATTATTGGTCTGTGTTGTCAAGAGCACTATGTACTGACACATAAAAGGTAGATATGTACAGCTCTGGGAATTTTGCAAACATTATTTTAGAAACCATGAATATACTTTCTAAAAAATTGTCAAAGAAATTTTATGTTAGTGGGCCAATAAAATTTAATACTCTATATAGTAAAATTTTCCTGTACCTAAATGTCTAACTAAATTTTGGATTTCAAAGCTTTTGCTCTTCTATTTAATACTGGATTGAATACGTATTGTTAATTGAAACTGTGAAAAGAGATATGTATTTAGAATATTAAGTAAGAAACACATGGTACTCAGGAGTAGTTTTGGATACTTTTTCTTCCACAAAAGCAACACTTGCTTAAAAAATAAAATTAGAGATCTTTATTTGCATAAGAAAACTTCCTATAATGCTCTAACATATTTTCAAAATATTTGCATTTATTTACTACTACTGCTGTTAGTTTTCTAGGGACACACAAGAGATTTTCTGGCCATTGATGACTTGCTCTTTGAAAAATTCCATGTGTGCTTTATGACAATAACAAAAATCTAAGTTGTCATAGAGCACACAGCAAAATAATAATTTCAGGTCTTATTTTCATGAGTCAACCTCAAATTTATATTTAAAGTTTAGAACATTCTTAAATGATTTATTGTACTAGGGCCAAATTATTCAAAGATTCCAGAATTAACTTCAGATTAATATGTATTTAAGTTCTATTTTATTTTTGAGTAGCACCTGATTTTGTAAATACTTGTGGTTGTGTATATATTTTTAAGATACAGCTACTTTACCTCAGTGAGATCATTTGTGTGTAAAAGTAATCACCTGTTTCTGCAGTGACAGGACTCAAATAATTTTCCAGAATATTATATATAATTACATCTCAAATGTTTCTTTATGGAATAGACAGAGGAAATAGTATGAAAAATAATTTATAATTTATTATTTAACTATTTCAAATTAGATGATTTTGAATTACTTTTCATTTAATCTTAGAATCTGAATGTTTTTATTTTTATATTACATGAAAACATCAGAAATGGTTTAATCAAATTGATCATAAATGTAACAGTTAAACAGAGATCATACAATGGCTATCCAAGTCTGTCATAGGTACTTCTCCAAAACAAAGATGAACTATAAAAAGTATGTCTATGTGGTAGATTTTGTGTGAAAAGAACATTATAAAATGCTCCGTTCAAGTCACTGAAATGCCATAGATTTACAGTGGGTAGAAGAAACTAGTTCAAAGTTAGTCCCTCCCTAATTCTTATATAAGTCTGAAAACCTGTGTTGCATTTTGATTTTATTTAAAAAAACACTTATAGGTTAAAAAGATCGTATCTTTAATTCTGTTATAAGTAGAAGAGGTCTTCTTAAAGGCACTGGACTCCGCATGGTATTAATTGCACCAGATCTTTTTCAAAGAGACATTATGTCTTCCCAGTGTTTGTCAGTAGTCTAAATTAAATGGACAGTGACTAACTAAAAAGCCAAAGTAGTTTTGCTGGACATATCGTGGTATCTTTAATATTATAATTTCACCATAACCATAGTAAGCAATGCCTTCCATGAATAATGTGATTCAAACCTAAATTTCTCGTGTAAAAAATTAAGGTGAGCAAGAATAAGAGAGTAAGACACAGTTTTTAAAAGTGTTAAACTTTCACTCTTCTATTTTTACCTTATCACTTCATCAAAAGGGTGATTTATACCAATTAGAGTCAATACAAGTAGCAACCAAGTTGTGCAAGATGGTTGTTGCTCTAACTTTCTATCAGTTCTTCTGACTCTTTTGTGTGTGTGCATATAGAATCATAGAATGGTTTGGTTTGGAAGTGACCTTAAGGACCATCTAGTCCCAACCCCCCTGCCATGGGCAGGGACACCTTCCACCAGACCAGGTTGCTCAAAGCCCCGTCCAACCTGGCCTTGAACCCTTCCAGGGAGGGGGCAGCCACAGCTCCTCTGGGCACCCTGTGCCAGGGCCTCACCACACCTACCATAAAACATTTCTTCCTTATATCCAGTCTAAACCTACCCTCCTTCAGTTTAAAACCATTGTCCATTGTGTATTGTGTTTGCGTGGCAAGGTTCTGGTAGCAGGGGGACTGCAGGGTTGGCTTCCATGATACGCTCCCAGAAGCTGCCCCCATGTCCAACAGAGCCAATGCCAACCAGCTGCAAGATGGACCTGCCACTGGCCAAGGCCGAGCCCATTAGCGACGGTGGTAGCACCTCTGGGATAACATATTTAAGAAGGGGGGGAAAAACCCTGTGCAACAGCAGCCAGGAGAGAGGAGCGAGAATATGTGAGAGAACAACTCTGCAGACACCAAGTCAGCAGAGAAGGAGGGGGAGGAGGTGCTCCAGGTACCAGAGCAGAGATTCTCCTGCAGCCCCTGGTGAAGACCACGGTGAGGCAGGCTGTGCCCCTGCAGCCCAGGGAGGTCCATGGTGGAGCAGATCCCCACCTGCAGCACAGGGAGGACCCCACACCACAGCAGGTGGATGTGCCCGAAGGAGGCTGTGACCCCATGGAATGCTCAAGAGAGAGCAGGCTCCTGGAAGGACCTGTGGCCCCATGGAGAGAGGAGCCCACACTGGAGCAGGTTTGCTGGCAGGAGTTGTGACCCCGTGGGGGACTCACACTGAAGCAGTCTGTTCCTGAAGGACTGCACTGCGTGGAAAGGACCCATGCTGAAGTAGTTCATGAAAAACTGTCTTCTGTGGGAAGGACTCACACTGGAGAAGTTCGTGGAGGGCTGTCTCCCATGGGAGGGACCCCACACTGGAGCTGGGAAGAGTGTGAGGAGTTGTCCCCCTGAGGAGGAAGGAATAGCAGAGACAACATGTGTTGGACTGACCACAACCCCCATTCCCCATCCCCCTGTACTGCTCAGGGGGCGGAGCTCAGGGGGCGGAGGTAGAGAAATCAGGAGTGAAGTTAAACCTGGGAAGAAGGGAAGGGTGGGGGAAGTTATTTTTTAAAGATTTTATTTTTCATTATGCTGCTCTGAGTTGATCTGTAATAAACTAAACAAATTTCCACAAGTCAAGCCTGTTTTGCTCGTGATGGTAATTGCTAAGTGATCTCTCCCTGTCCTGACCTTGACACATGAACCTGTCATTGTATTTTCTCTCCCCTGTCCGTTGATGAGGGGAGTGATAGCGTGGCTTTGGTGAGCACTGGGCATCCAGCCTGGGTCAACTCACCACACCTAGTCCTGTCACTACAGGCCCTGGTAAAAAGTCTCTCTCTGTCTTTCCTATAAGCTCCCTTTAAGCACTGGAAGGCCACTCGAAGGTCTCCCCAGAGCCTTCTCTTCTGCAGCCTGAACAACCCCAATTCTCAGCCTGGCTTCACAAGGCAGGTGTTTCATTCCTCTGGTCATTTTTGTGGCCTCCTCTGGACTCACTCCAACAGGTCTCTGTCTTTCTTGTACCGACCACCCCAGAGCTGGACACAGCGCTGCAGGTGGGGTCTCACGAGAGCAGAGCAGAGCAGAGGAGAATCCCCTCCCGCAACCTGCTGGCCACACTGCTCTTGATGCAGCCCTGGGCATGGTTGCCTTTCTGGGCTGTGAGCCCACGTTGCTGGCTCATGGTCAATTCTCCACCTACCAGTACCCCCAAGTCCTTCTCCGCACGGCTGCTATAGTTCTCTCTCTCTGTCTCTCTCAAGCCTGTAGGAATTGGGAGCCGTAATTTCCTGACTCTGACTTGCTTGGTATCATACCGATTTCAGTATGAAACTGACAGTGGAGGCAAGGAGAAGAAATGAGGCAAGGAGGGCGACAGGCTGGGTGGGAGGGCATGGCCCTCAGAGGGGTGGCACGGTGTCAGCTGTCACTACATATTACCTGTTGAAGCATGGATTGTGAGATTATTTTTAATAGGCTGGCTCTGCTGGGCATGAAGACGCCGTGTTTTTAGGGTATTTATCATAATGCCGCTCAAGGTGACCAGGAAGCTGTGCTGAAAGGAGAATTTTAAACCAGTGGTGGCTTCATCATGTTAGGAACCACCCTTTAAGGAGAAACCCAAGGGACAAGTGGCTCGCCTGAAGTACTGGAGTCGTTACAGGGAAGTTAAGAATATTAAGCGTGTTTTGGTTTTTATTTAAGATGTATAAAATCACAGGGCAGTCCTGTGGCAAAGATGGATGCACGCTGTAGACAGTGTGGCCTTCCTTGGACCCAAGAGCTGCTGGCAGGTTGGGGAGCACAAAGAGTGCTTCCAGGCAGCTCTGCCTGCCACACTGGGGCTGTATGAGCAGACAGTAGGTAGAAAAAGCTACGGTATTAAAACTTCAGAGCACCTCAGTCACCGTGTGGTGGCAATCAAACAGGCACATGCGTGCGTGTCGAAGTCGGGGACAGGTCCAAGAGGGAGGCTCTCGCAGGCAGCCTGCAGCAGGGACAAGCCTCTCCCGGGCCCGGGCCCGCACCCGGGCGAGCGGGGACGCGGCAGGGCGGCCAGAAGCGGAGCATTCCCGCGGGTCGCCGGCCCCAGATCAGCGGGGGCACCCGCCTTGCGCCGGCCCGGCCGCGGTGCCGCGAAAGGCGGCGGCGGGGGAAGAGCGGCGGCGGGGAGCGGGGACGAGGCCCCCTTAGGCCGCGGGGCGGGGACACCGGGCTCCCCCGTGACGACAGGCGCTGCCAGCGAGCGCGGGGGCCGAGATGGCTCCTCCGCCGAGGCGGGCGGAGGCGGCGGTCGCTGACAGGACCCGCGGCGACGCCCCCGCCGCCGCCTCCAGGCCTCGTCGGCCGGCCCTGCCGTGACGCCGCGGCGGGACGCGCATGCGCAGCAGCGTCCAGCGCCTGTTGTATCCGGCCGGCGCCTTTTCTCTCTCCCTCCCCTCCCGCACTCCCCGAGCCGCCGCGGTCGGTGCCGCCGCCGCCCTCCGCGCCCTCCCCGCCCCCTCTGCGCCTGGCCGCCAGTGCCTCCGACTTCCCCGGCTGCCCCATGAAGCGATGGCAGCGGCCAACTTCGGCAAGATCCAGATAGGGATCTACGTGGAGATCAAGCGCAGCGATGGTCAGTGGGGCCGGGGCGGCGGCCGGGGCGGAGGAGCGGCCGCAGACCGCGGCCGGGAGCCGCCGCCGCCGGCCCCGTGCGCAGCGCGAGGGGGGGGCGGGGGAGTAGGGGGGGCTGCGCGCGGGGGCCCATTGTGTGCGCGGGGCCGGGGAGTGGCCGGGCCTGGCGCGCGCTGCGGTTGTCGGGGCAGCGCTCGCGCTTGGCGGCGCAGGGCGGTTGCGCGGGGCGCGAGCGGCGGTGGCGGCGGCCCCGCCGCTGGGGTCGGGGAGGCTGCGGCAGGGAGGGGAGGGAGGGGCGGCGGGTTTGCGGAGGGGGAAGACGGGAGAGGTGGGGTGGGGGGGGATGGCAGTGTCTGTGTGTGGGGGGGGATTCGGGGTGAGAGTGGCGTAGGTGGGACTGAGCCCGGGGAGATTTTGGCAGGGGGGCGGGAGGGCCTTAGGCGAGGGGGGAGGCGATGAAAGCAGGAAAGGCGTTTAACGTAAAGGTATAACTTCTTGTTTGCTCTGGCGTACGAGCCGTGCTCTGAAAAAATGGCACAACAGCATGCCTTGACAGAAATACCGTTGGACACTTCCATCCCCGGACAAAAAGCTTGGTGGTGTTATTTCAGATGTTCTTTGTGACTAAAATGTGAGAAGAATGTTTGCTGTTTATGCCTAAGAGTTGTTGTTTCTCCGTTGGGGATACAGTGTTTCTCATCTTCCCCAGCATCTCCTGGTGGGAGGATGTATGGTGCTGTCTAGAAATACATGTGAATAAAGGAGGTGTGTGTGACAGGTTTAAGGCGCTAACTCTCAGTAATTGTCTGGTAGGAGAGAACTGAATTGGGGAAGTTCACTGGCTGAATCAATGGCAGGTCACTCATGACTTCAGATCTTTAATTTGACTGAGAATATGTCATCTGGTTTTGGCCTCTGTGAGGTCTGTGAAGCCTGCTAAACTAGGGTGGGGTTCTGCTGGGATTTTTTTTTTTTTTTTTTTTTTTTTCCTTCAGGCTTCAGGAGCTTGCTAAGGAATAAGCAGGTATGTCTAAGGGAAGAAGGGCTGGGGGGTCAAAGGTGCTAACGTTAGACTGCTTTTGTCATGAGGCAGGAAACAAGCAGCTGACAAGCTCTATGCAGCTTGTCTTTCTTGTGTCCCATACTGCAGTTCTACCCTACAATGAAATAATGGTTGGTGTTGGCTGGACACTATACTAAACCTAAGCCCTCAATTTGTGCATTTTGGCTTGTGTGTCACGTGAAGAATCTGATAGGTCTGGCAATAATTTCATAACTCCTGCAGATCTCTGTCTGGGGTTTCAGGAAACCTCACTGTAGCAACTTGTAAAATTGTTTTTCTGAGGTCTGTGTGAACTTCCAAAGAATGTTACTGTTTGGTTTGCATGCCTTCAGAAAACAAGCTATGAGATTGCTTTGCTGCTTTTTTTTTTTTTTTTTCTTTTACCCTCTGCAGGATTTTGCTCACTTCTAATGTCAGAAGTGAGGACAGTAACTCTTGGGTGCAACAATACTTATTTTTGTTACTGTTAATGGTTTACATATTTTGCTGTATCACATATGGGATGCAGCACATTAAATATATTACATATGAGTAATATACTAAGGAGATGTCTTCACAGCAGTTTCTCAGACTATAGGGTTTTGAGCATTTATGTTAACTTGGTCCTTGGGTGAGCAACCAGACTGCAGTGTCATACCACTTAGTGGGTCCTGGTTATTATGAGGTTTGCTTGTTTTTTGTTGGAGTGGAGATGCCTCGTTGTGGCTCAGGATACTGCAGCTTTGTGTCATTTTCTTCCTGTTAAACTGTAGGAGAAACTGTCCTAGGTATGTGTCAGGGAACATTTTGAAAAAGATATTGAAGGACGGCCAGCACTAGATTGCATTGTCTTTCAGAAGGTAGGTTTCCAACCTGAGCTGTGGTTGCAATTGAAATTGATGTAGCTGCTTCTAACAAAGGGTCTTGCTGCCTGTACCTCTGTCAACTGTGTTGTTCCTACAAACTCTCTTAGTTAGTGTAGCCAATTATTTTTTTTTCTTCAGATGTTTGAATACATTAATTAATGATTCGATTCACTAAACATGGTAGGAAACTTTGGGATGTGCTAGTTTTCTGCACAATTAGTGAGTTTTAGTAGATCACAGAGGTACCTGTGATCCCAGCAATATTGGTGTACAGGAAATGCGTGGCCAGCATGAAGTGGAAGTCTTTACATAGGATGTTGTGGTTCAGTAACAGGGAGCTACCTGGATCTGCTCTACCCAGAACTGTGTCCTAGGTAGAATCAGGGCTGTGATCGTACCAGCCACCCTTGTCTGAAAGCACAATTAAAACTGTTTAAGAAACTTTTGGAGAAAGCTGTGTGTTGGTCTGGGCTTTTTTTTACTTTATCTGGTCTATAGGGAGTTCTTTTTTAATACCAAGTATTATTTTGAGAGGTAGGCATAGTAATTCTTTAAAATTACCTTATTTACCTGTCTATTTGCTGACTCCAGAGAAGAATAAAGTTTTACTTTGTTAATGGCAGTCATGCATTTTTTTTCCCATCTGTCTACTGGTTACGTTAAACACTTTTCGGAATACAGTGTCCTGGTTTTCAGCTGGGACAGAGTTAATTTTTCTTCTTAGCAGCTAGAACAGTGCTGTGTTTTGGATTCAGTATGGGATTTGGTATAAGGATGCTGATAATACACTGATATTTTCAGTTGTCACTAAGATCAAGGACTCCCCAACTCCCCATGTCCTGCCCATGTGCAGGTGCACAAAGAGTTGGGAGGGAGCATGGCCAGAGCACTGCAACCGAACTGGCTGGTGAAATATTCCTTATCATGTAATGTCCTGCTCAGTGTATAAAGGAGGGGTGGCTGGGAAGGGTGGGTTCCCTCTTGCTTCCGGGATTGCGACTGTGGGATATTGGTATTTCAGGATCCCTAGCCAGGAGCGCACTGGTATTAGCTGGCGGGTGGTGAGCAATCGCATTGTGCATTGCCTGTTTGTACTTTCTATTTTTTTTTTTTCCCCCCTTATTTTATGATGATTATAAAACTGTGTTTATCTCAACCTGTGAGTCTCCCTTTACCCCTCCAGTTCCCTACCACATCTCCTGGGTGGGGGGAGGGTGAGCAAGTGGCTGTGTGATATTTGGTTGCCAGCCAGGTTTAAACCATGACACTGAGATTTATTAATTCCAGATAACTCTATTTTTCCTTAAGTAAAACGAAAACCTAACTGAAAAGCATTCTTTTCATTATACATCAATGTTACAAGTCATGCACGTTCACTACAACAAAATTGCAAAGACATGCAAAACACAATAAATGTGAGAATGAGATGAGAACATTCTGGAAAGAAAAGTTACATATTCTTTCATTTTGACAAGTTCTAATTAGTCTTAAGTGTTTCATGAAAGACTTCTTATAGGACTGAATAGAAAATAGATGTTGTACAAATGAAAGGCATTGTTAGAAATCATGGCCAAAACCACATGAAAATCAGTGTTTGGATAAAACCCAACATTTTCAAGGACTGACGTTGCAGAGCTGCTTGCTGTGTATCTGTTTTTCCTCAGTGGGTAAACATTGGTATAAATGTTATCTAGAGTTGCAAATAATATTTCTGGTTATAGTTGGAATAACTAGTTATGTTCATGTAATGTAGAAGTGTGCTAAGTGGTCAGCTAGTTTGGCTTTTTATAATAATTTCTGTTACTGAAACTTACTACTTATTTCTGTCTTGGAAACAGGAAAACACTCCTTTACTTTAGTTGTGAATTGCTAAGCATGGGCTGCATTTCCACTCTTGAAAAACATGCCTTACCACACGGAAACTTAAGGAGGTGGGAAGGGAGCCAGAAGGTACCCCCAAGACTCACTGTAACGCTCCTGTCCAGAAGGTGCTCCTTGTTGAGATCTAAATATGGGCATTTGTCCTTTGACAAATTCCCTTTTACTCAAATAATAATAGCCCACAGCTTTACATGTGAATTTATACCTGTATCTGTACTTCTTGTGCATTATCCCGTTAATGATGACAAAGACCTATGTAACTACTTGGAAAAAGACTCTCACATTTTTTCCCCATAAATTCATTTTTTTGCTGAAATAGGATAAATCTGTTATGCCCTGCAGCCCTTTAGTAGGCTGTTTTTCCTTCACTTTTTCATTCCAATTGAGTTCTCAGACCAGTTGCATTCTGTCCATTTCCTCCTCAGGTTATTCCTATTCTCTCTGTTTTTGCAGATCTGAAATGCCACCTAGAAAGACAGAAAAATTAATTAAATGTTTGCTCATTTCAAAATTGGAGGTGGGGGAGGGGATTACAATTCTGATCTCACTGTGTCAGAAGTAATAATGTAACAGGCATGAGAAGGGGCATTCTTGTGACTGGACGAGTGATTGAAGATTTGACTGAACTTCTAGGAAAGGAAAAATGCTGAATTTTTAGGAATTAAGCATCAAATGGTATAAAAAAGAAAGATCATGAGTTTGTGCCTGTTTTTTTCATAATACAAGAACAGGAGAGCTGTCAGTAAAAGAGGAAACTTAAAATTCATAAAGGAGAATAGACTAGGTACAGTTATCACATGATGCTTGTTACCAGAGGAGATGGAGGCTAGAAGCATACTAGAATGTTAAGAAGGCTGGAAGGAATATCCAGTTTTACACTAAAAGTTTTTTTTTTGTTTTGTTTTGTTTTTTTTTTTTTTTTTTAAAAAAAAAACAAAAAAAAAAAACAAAAAAAAACAAACCAAACCAAAACAAACCAACCAAACCACCAGCAACTTTAAAAGGTAGTTTCTGTTCTTCCTGAGCCTGTAGTTTAAATAACCTATAACTGACGGGAGGTAGGAAGAAATCTTGCCTGTGGCGGTGTTATTTTTAATTGCCTACTTAAGAATTTTCTTCACTTGTCTCTGAAGCAGCTGGAATGGGTCATGGTTGAAGATAATCCACCCAGACCAAAAATCTCCTGGCAGCTTCTCTTTCCTTAGATTTGCC